CTGGAAGGAATTGAACAGCCAGTTCCTCCTCTCCAAAGGTATTCACATTGTGGAACCTCTCAGCCCCTCTGGCTGAGAGTCCTGGGTGCCAAAGTTGCCATACTACACCGTGGCATTGCCATGCACTGCCACAGTATGTTTGTTGTTATTTTAAAGATATGGGTAAAGTTCCTCTTTAATATACTTGAATGCATTTTTAAGATTTAATGCCTGAGTTTAATGTCACTTTAAGAAAAATCTTACACAGTATATTGAACATGTAACAAACTAAAGAAAACAATTTTCACATTAAATGCATTTCCAGGATAATAGACGTATATCACAAAGGAATACAATCACATAAATAAATGATATTGCTGTTAATGTATCTACATCATCAGACAGTCCTTTCCTGCTTTGTATACATTATAAAGGCTCAGCAAATACAAAAGCGGGCTGCAGTCTTATTGCCCCTGACTGCTGTGAAAACACAGTATTGTGAGATATGCTGGTACATCTTTTTTTTTTTTCTGAACAAAAATGAAACCTGCTGCAACTTTATTTTTCCCAATTATCTTTTTATCAGCATCCCCTGAGCACCAGCTCACATCCTGTGTTACAATCTTTGGTCCTGACCTACATTTTCTATGGGCTTCTTCTCTTTTTTTTCCCACTCTGGTTTAAACCTTGTGAAAGGAACAAGGTATAATCTTTGCAGGTTCAGCAGGGTCTCTCTACATTAGGAGGCAATCGATCACTGAGGGAGAAATGATCCGTCTTTCCTTCTTAAAACATGTTTATCTTGCACACATTTCTCTAAGGCAGAAATCAACACAAGTGATAAATACCAATACAGGCTTTATGGTGATATATGGTTTATAGACCTAAGCAGTAATGTCATGAAGATAGGGGTTTACATGAGAAACCGCAGTTTGTTGTATGCAAACATCCCACATTCATAAGGGAAATTACTAGCATTGTATATGAGTTTCCTTTTTTAATTAGGTTTAAGAAAAAACCAAAGGAAAAACAGTAACAATATACATTTATTTCTTAGGTAAATATGAAAAATGGCATATATGTTTCAAAGGTACTATTTCCAGCCAGCAGGTAGGAAACTAAGCTAATTTTATCATGTTTACAAGGCTTACCTTAAAGTATTATTAAACTGTCATTTATTTTCAGTAGTGAATCCAGATCAAACTAAAATACATTGCTCAGCAAAGCATTTTTTACATTTTTACACAAGCCCTTAAAGTCATCATGTTTCCAAACAGCTGGCTCCAACTTACTCAGCTTTGCTTGCCTGAACTTCCTATGCAGTACAAGATCACAAGTCTGAATGAATAAGTTCACAATATCACAATATACACCAACAATTTTCTTTCTCAAAAAAACTCTACTTTTTCTAATTGGAAGACAGTCTAGAAGCTCCAGCCAAGTGACTATGTATAGGCTGAGATGATGCCATCTGAGACGAGGCCTTTTTTCCTCTATTTTCACCTGATGATCCTGCCAGTAACACACTTCCTGCATGAGGGTGGCAATGTCCACTCACTGTATAGTGTATCGAGAAGCATAGTTGTCACCCAAAAATGGGGTGTGTGTTATGACCACAAAACACCTCCCTCTCTCCTCCATAAACCTGACAAGCTTGTTTCAAAGTGCAAAGCTCTTTTTAAATTGCATGATCACACAGAGCAACAATAATTTATGGCATGAGTGAGGAGGGGTCCATGCGCGGTCCCAAAACGTTGCTTTTTTTATGTGAATGTGAAATAAAAATGAGCTTTCCACTTTAAAACGGTATGCTGGTGACATCTCCTGTCCCTATTATACACCGTGACCAGTCGGGAGTTGTTGCAGCGCTCTTTTTACCACAAGGTTAATTCCGGTACGACAGAATATACTCCACCTCTTCTCCATAGGGCGAGGTGTTCTGTAGTCCACAGAGAAAGCTGGGAGTGATTGCTAACTGATTAGAGTCAGCAGAGGCAGAGAGCACAGGAAGTTATTGGTACAAAAGATTTCTGGCAGGATCCATAGGTAGTTTTAAATGCACTTATTGAACAGATATAACAAAGCTCTTTCCATTGTATATTTACCAGACCAAATGGGAGCAAATTATAGAAGTTCAATATCCGCATTTACATACATTTTAAAGCAGCTTTGTAGGAAGTGCAATGTATGCCTTTGTGTTTCACTTAGCCTCTCTCCCAGAACTACGTAATGTTAATAGCAGATAAAACAACTGCTTATATTTTGGTTTAGTGCCTTGACACTTGCGCTATCTATTTCATCAGGCATAAATATATCAATACACTGCATAGTCATTACTTGAAAAACAAGTCTAAAAGCTGGTCATTGAAAAAACAATATAGTAGCTTATACTACTTGTTTGAAATTTGTCTGTAATCTGAAGGGACAGTCTCATTACATATTTGTTCCACGGAGGTTTTGTCCCTGAGAGTATTTCTGGTTTTTACAGATAACTGTAGAGCACAAAGAAAGTATTTCTGTGCAGTTGATTTGTGCAATTCTTGATATCAGCCTCCACCATTTATTCAAGATGATTTCTTCAAACAGTTTTATTATGGTTATGTGCCATTGTCAGTCATATTACGGCACATTCTCATGTAGACTATATTGGAAATGATGTAGACACATGAAACTGCTCAGTAAAATGTTCCTGCTAATGATATTTACATTTTAAAGTAATTCTGTCTTAAACCAGTACAATTCAAACCGAGCATAGGATGAAAAAATAGGGGTTACCTTCTATGAAAACTGCATGTCAAAACGATATGTAGATAGATATAGGCAGCTCAAAGGTATGCTGATGTTGATGGTTGCCTCCAAGCTTCCCAGTTGGTACTTTATTGTGGCAGTGGGTCTCATTGACCAATAGGGAAGCCTATGACAAGGAGGATGAGGGGCAAAGTTCGACTTTTACAGGAAACATTACAATTTGCAGCCTATAACTTGGGATCTTCTGATTGTTTTCAAAATGACTTTTCACTGAAAGTAACCTCAGTTAATGTATTTTTCAACATAGGCTGAATTGCACTGGTTTGCGTCAGGCTATTTAAATACCCCCTTATTTCAGATGTTAAAAAAATGAACCTAGTCAACAATGAAATTTAGCATTGGTTGTTAAAAAAAAAAACCAACTAATTATTACCTATCCCTAAAATTTCTGATGTGAGATACCAGTCAGCAGTGAAGGTCCAATGTCATCCTCCTCCATTATTTTTAGATTTACTAAAGGTTTGTCAGTGAAATCATTACTGTGTCAGTGTAATTAAAAAAGTGTAATTAAAAAATAATCTGTCACTTAATTGATGCTTTCCTTGCCAGCTTTGTAAGAAAATGTATTATAAGGTGGATTTACAAGAGGAGTTGAGAATCTTCCCAATCATGTGCATATAAAATAAACAAATAGGTATTTTCATTTGGCATCATAATTGAAGTGAATCTTCATTCAACTTATTGAATAAAGATTCTCAAGCCCTTTAGTAAAACAGCCTTATTATATGTTTTTATGCTTTTATTAATCATTTTGCGGATGTATTGTTAACTGTTCACCACAGGAGACTGCCATGTACTGTGACAAATAGACATGACAGGATTGATTTACTAAAGGAAAATAGGCTGTTCATTTTGCAAGGGAATTTGTACTTTGTCAGCAATTTTTCACTTAGCTTAGCAAATGAGGTAAGGCTCTGCTGATCTCCATCATCCAATCATGTGCAAACAAAAATACCTTTTTTGTTTTTATTTTTCTTGCATGTGATTGGGTATTCTTTGCAAAGTGAATGTTCACCACATTCAGCAAGCTAAAGGAAAATTCCCTTGCAATGTCAATAGCTATTTTCCTTTAGTAAATCATCCCCCCCCTCCCCCCTAGGCCTAAACTAGGGATGCACCGATACCGATACTAGTATCAGTATCGCCCAAATGCTCCCAACACTTATGAGTCATTACACGCCACCTGGCTTCCTGATTGGCCAGAAAGCCGGCTCCATGTTTCCTCGTCACCTGGTGACGCCGCACGGCTTGCTTAATGGGACTTCCGGTATCGGAATTCGGTATGGGTGGGTACCAAAAATAATATCGGTACTTGATACAAAAAAAATGATATCGGTGCATCCCTAGCCTAAACAGACACCTAATGTCTCTGAATGTGCTAAATGTTGCAGACAGAGATCAGTGTCTTTTTCTGTTCTTCTTGGCATTGCAACTTACCATGAACCCAGAAGTGCTCATTACTAAGCACTCCCTTTTTTAGAGTATCGTAGAAAAACTGATCTCCCTTGTACTGTGGATGTGATTGATGGGATAGTAGGTTACATCCCAACAGCTGCTATATTCCTGTTATAGGTGGTAACATGCCAGACTGGGACATATACCACTGTGACCTTCTGTTTACTGAAGGTCTCTCTTGATCTCCCTTGTACTGTGGATATGATTGATAGGATAATAGGTTACATCCCAACTGCTTCTAGGTTCTTGTTATAGGTGGTTACACGCCAGACTGGGACCCAGCATCAAACACTGGGGCCTTCTGTTTACTGAGGGTGCTGTGGGGGATCTCTGCAGTGTGTACACATGTACACACTCACCTACACATACACACTCACATACACATGCATACATGTGCTATGCTATATACAGTATGACAGAAACACAAATCCCACTGATTTTTATTAGGCTTGCTCGGTGCCATTTCAGCCCTTCTGCATTAGTTCCGTCTCCTGCCAATCAATGTTCACACTAGAAGGATGAAATCTCACATGTTCGACGTTGCACTTGGCATAATATCCACTCTTTTTTTATAATCTGTCCTCACTCATAACTAGCTCACAAAAGTATCACTCATTGTTCAAATATCTTCTGTTATGCTGTCACTGACAAGCCATTTAAACAAACTAAAACAAAATTAAAGTAGCAAGCTCTGCAGATCTTGATAAAATAACCTTGTGAAACCCTAAGGCCCCATTCACACCAATGACGTGCCGTACCTTCTGTGCTGGGTGAGGCATCCGCCAGCCAGCCGAAGCTCCGCCCCATCCCGCCAAAGCTCCGCCCCATCCTGCTGAAGCCCTGCCCCCAGCCCTATATACTGTTTAGAACAGCGGTTCTCAAAGTGTGGGTCGCGACCCCGTCGGGGGTCGAATGACTATTTGCCTGCTCGATCGAGCAAAGCAAAACTTTCTCCGTTGTTTTTTTTTACTGACATCGGTCCGCAGGAACACATAGCTAGATTCCTATTGGCTATTTCACTTTGCAATAGCCAATAGCAAACTAGCTATTGCGCCCGCCCTCTGCTGCTGCCAATCAGCAGAGGGGGACCTGAAATTCTCCATCAGGTCCAGTTCTACTGATTGACAGCATCAGAGGGCGGGTGCAATAGCTAGTTTGCTATTGGCTATTGCAAAGTGAAATAGCCAATAGGAATCTAGCTATGCATTCCTATGATGGATTTTTTTTTTTTATTCTGACGGCGTACATATCTGCTCAGGTAAGCCTGCATTCCCCCCACATGGTGCTGCATTAATGTATTGCTGGGGTAGTGGGATTTGTAGTCCTCTCTAGCTGCTGGTACATTGTGCTGTACCATCAGCTAGAGAGGACTACAAATCCCAGCAATACATTATACACAGTATGTATAATGTACTATTGCTGGCATTTGTTGTATTCCTATATAGCTGGTGGTATTCTGCATTGCCTCGTATAATCATTATACAGCACACTGCAGAATACCAGCAGCTATATAGGACTACAAATCCTAGCAATAATAAATTATACGGCGCAATGGAGAATACCACCAGCTACAGAGGACTACAAATCCCAGTAATAGTACATTATAGTAGAATGCGCGTCATCCCTAAATTTTACCTTTGGGGGTCACCACAACTTGGCAAATGTTACCAAAAACCTTAGAAAGGTTGAGAACCACTGGTTTAGAAAGTTATATAGAGCTGACCTCTATATGCTATGTTGCATGTTACAAACACACACAACTTGCATGACTTAAGTGTTTATTTTCTCAACGGTTGCTAGTTGCTGTGTAGTTTGTAACTGTTTAATGACGTTTTTCTTCAAGGTAGGCTCAGACAAACTGTTAGCCCCCTGTCTTTATTGTGTTTGTCACTCATAGCACAGTGTGTCTGTCACTCATAGCACAGTAAAACTGACCATGCAGCCCTGTGAGCTGAATGATGATAAAACACTTGATTCATCCATCAACACTAAACAGCGTGGACAGTAGAAACTCCCTGCTGGCTATTGTATTCTGACAGCCTGCACCCACCACTGTCAGTGCGCATGAACAGTGAATGAAGCTGATTTGTTGTCAATGTTTGGCTGACAATTTTTGACCTGACTCCTTTGGCAAAAGTCAATTGGAAAGTCAAGTTTTGATGGAACGAAAATGTAATTGAATGAAAAGGTGCTGGCAGGGTCCTGCTCGCAGGGTCCAGCTGAGTATGGCCAGCTTAATTTAGGGGGATTTTGTAAGTACAAAGACTGTGGACTATGTACAGCTTATACGGTAATTAGTCTCAGTCTCTACTTTTAGCCAGGCCTAATATTTAGTGAAATGAAACTATGGTCCTTGTCACTGCACATGCTGTATCATTTACTTTGATTCTCTAGATGTCTCTCATAGGTATGCTTGGGAGGTATGAAAAGGTGCTGGCAGGGTCCTGCTCGCAGGGTCCTGCTGAGTATGGCCAGCTTAATTTAGGGGGATTTTGTAAGTACAAAGACTGTGGACTATGTACAGCTTATACGGTAATTAGTCTCAGTCTCTACTTTTAGCCAGGCCTAATATTTAGTGAAATGAAACTATGGTCCTTGTCACTGCACATGCTGTATCATTTACTTTGATTCTCTAGATGTCTCTCATAGGTATGCTTGGGAGGTATTTAGTCATTCTCACTTTTTCTCACACTCACTGTTTGACTTTTTAATTGTAAAGCAAGGCCGATAACTTGTAGTTATTGTTAACATTTTATTTATTTTATTGTTTATCATCTTTAACCCCTTCAGGACCCATGACGGGATAATCCCGTCATGAAGTCTGAAGGGGTTAAACAGAAAAGCCACCAGGAGTCTGTTCAGTTTTGTTGAGCCGGCGGCCGGCTTTACAGTAGAGTGTAAAGGTGATACTAGGGATATTTTGGACCCCCAGCATCACCCTAAAGAGTACCTGTCACTGACAATATGCTATCACATGGGGGACTTGTAAGCCCCCCTATGTGATAGCAATTAAAGTAAAAAAAAAAACAGTTTTAAAAATAATATTAAATAAATTAAATGTAAAAATAATAAAAAAAGTTTTTAAAGTATCCAGCCCCCGCAAGCACACGCGTCAGGTGTGCCTATGTACGGCAGCGACAATTGTGCTACACATGTTGGGTATCACTGCACACGCCAGAGTGAGAGCAATATTTCTAGGGCCAATACTTACACATATCTCTAAACTAATGACCTGTAGGTGCTTTTAAAGCGTCGTCACAATTGACCCAGATGAAGCCCCAGATGAAGTCAATTGTGACGTAATGCGTAGGGCGGAGTCTCGCAGACGTGGATTGGAGATTGCATGGTCGGCAGCACAGCTCCTGTTTGATCTGTCTTTGCACTCAGAGAACACGGTGACAGGGAGAGAGAGTTGTCGAGCATACATTTTATTTGAAGTTTTATGTCTACTTTCCTCATGTGAGTAGTTTTTTAAATAAAGCGGTTTTACGCTATGGGCTGTTTTTATATTTTATTGGATATGGTCGTGATGACATGCTGATGTAATTTTCTGTGCAAAGATTGCGGAGAGATGGCCTTTGAATAAGATCGATTGGAGACCCATTAAAGCGATTCTAGACCTGTTCAGGTCTATTTGTAAGGTGAGCGGCCCACTGAGAGGGGGAGCACCTGGGTGATAATTGGAGTTGACGTATGGACTTTGTACAAAGAACTTTCACAGTGGAAGGATAAAGAGTGTGGTGCACTTGGGACAAATCCTGAGCACTATATACGTGTGATTCCACATTTGTGTATATTTGAACACGAAATAAATGATTGAACTTTCCAGAGGATTATTATATACAAGAAGATCCATTGTTAACACTTTTGTTGATTACATGTATTATTTAAGCACATATTTATTATAGATATTTGTTTATGTATTGTTCTATATGAAGAGCAGCACATTCATTATAAGTCAAACTAAATGTAGTTTATTTTGAAAATGAAAGTTTCTATCCTGCTACTTTGAGTTTTTTCATCACTATGGTCAATCTTTCATACCAAAGCAGTGTATGGCCAGCTATGATTAAAAATCAAAGCAATGTATGGCCAGCTGTCTTTCAATCATGGCCAAGGGTAGAGAGGGATCCTGCAGTGTGGCTGTGAGTGGCTTGGGCTGAGTGACTCCTACTTCTGAAAGGGACAGCCAGCCAGGGCTACAGGTGTGCTACCTATTAGACATGTGCGATTCGTTTCGTTCCGAATCGAAATTCGGAAGAATTTTAGGAAATTCGGACATTCGGATGTATCCGAATTCCGAATTACAAATATATTAAGAATGCAAACGAATCCGAATTTCTGTTTCCGAAATTCGGTAGCGGCAGTTCGTTCGAACGTTCGTTTCGTTTTTGTTTCTTATTCGTTTCGTTTGTTGGAGCAAAGTAACAGAAAAACATTTTTCCCCCTCAAATGTCACTTTGCTGCAAACGAACGAACGAATGAACGAAACGAATAAGAAACGAAAACGAAACGAAGGTTCGAACGAACTACCGCTAACGAATTTCATCCGAATCCGAATTCCGAATCCGAATTTACTTTCACACCCGAATCCCGAAAAAAGAAATAACACAATCTGAATTTAAAATGAAACGAAACTAAACAAATTTTTGGGCAGTGCACATGTCTACTACCTATCTATCTATTGAAATATATATATTTGTATATCCATCCAGTTGCTATCTTTTCACTTGTAGACAGAAGAGTGACCTACAGGTCAACTCAGCCAACACACATTTTGTACATGGTGGTTCCTCCAAAATCTGTTTTGTTTTTTTACCTCATAGGCAGCTAAATGGCAAAATATTTGAACATATGGTTGTCTAATTCTTGTCTAATGCTTGTCTAATGCTTTCCGAGCACTTCAATTTCCATTTCCATTTCTTTTTATCGTGTAATCATATTCTGAGATCCTCTCTACTCAGAACTTTTCTTTTACTTTGTTTATAGTAAATGTTTGCTTTTCCCATATCTTTTTAGATCACTGCCACTGATCAGATTCATTTAAACCATATTTTCAATTGAAAGGCATATTTGTGAAAAGAGAAGTTGAAAAGTTTAATTGCATCAGTGGATGCCCCAGGATTTGGTACATCGTGGTTGAACATAGAGTACAATAACATTTTCGATGAATATTACAAGATATAATGCAGGCAGAAAAGAAAAGAATCTCTGGACATGCCTCCAGTTAGACAGAGCTTGCGGGGATATTTTTCATAGCCTGCAGCTATCCTTACTTCACTTGCTGCTCTATGTGAATTGGTTGGCTGATCTGTATAATACCAAAAACACTATATTTGTGTCTTTTTGTTATAAGTTTTAAAACTTAGTCAATTTATGCCTCTATACTACTCAAAAGTTGTTATTGCATTTTATGTAAATAATAGAAAGATAGAAAAAAGAAATGCAGCCAAACCATTAATTTTTTATTGTCATCCTCATCCTTGTTGATAAGATTTTATTTTATTTCCTGTTCTAGAGAGACAGCATAAGGTGTCCCCAGGCAAATTTTGTATTCCCCTCACTTCCTGTGCTAGAGATTACTGTATCTGGGACAGGAAATTAGGGGGAATCACCCGAATGTGAGTTCACAAGCAGCAATAGTAACCCTAGAGGGGTTTTAAAAAATTTGCATTGACGTTCACTTTAATTGTTAATCTCATATATTTTATCAACCTTGAATTGTAGTATTTTGTGTAAATATGTACTGCAAATATGCTAATGCAGTATAGAAAAGGGAACCCAAGTTTTCAGACTGTGCAGCCTGT